GCCGAGGCCTGACGCCGTCTCGCAGGCATCACCTCCGAGAACGAGCCCGCGGTGAAGCAGCTCTCCTCCGAGACCGACCTGGAGCGGGCCGTGCGCAAGGCGGCGCTGGTCATGTACTGGAAGCTCAACCCCAAGAAGAAGCAGCAGGTGGCCGTGGCCGAGCTGCTGGAGAACGTCGGGCAGGTCAACGAGCCCGGTACGCGGGGCCCCGCGCGCCCCACCCAGGCACCCCGCTGGGCTGGGCTGGGCTGGGGCTTCCTGTGGAGAGGGTCAGTCCTTGTGGAGGCCTCAGGCCCCCGGGAGCCCACGAGAGGGTCCTTCCCGGGGTCAGGGGTGACCCTCTTCAGCGCCACTTGCTCCCAGGGATTCCTCCGGGGGTGCGGTGGCCCCCGGGCGCCCCAGAGACCACTCGGCAGCCGCTGGCAGTTCCACCTGGCTGCCCCCGCCTTGGGCCTGCCTCTGTAGCGGCAGTGTCCGTCCTGTCCACCACGGCTCGTCCACTCCTGCCCGACTGCCCCCCAGGCCTGGGCTGGCCGTGGGGAGAGCCGGCGGGAGCTCACCGGCGGGCGGGGGTGGGGCAGAGGGCGCCTGTCGGCCCGCAGGACGCTCGCTCACCGCAGCTGCCGGGAGCTCGTTCTCGCGCCAGGGGAAGTCGTGCCAAGGGGCACGCGGCGCCGGGGCTTGGGGACAGGCGACACGCACCAGAGTGCGTGTGTCCGAGGTCTGTGCTGGCGGGGTGGGACGCGTCAGCACCCGCGGATGGGAGGCTCGCGGTCACTGCCCAGATGGACCCAGTGGCGCCCAGAGCGGGGCTTGCGGGCACACGGCGGGGTTTCTGGGCGGGCGCTGCCGGAGGGAGGGGCAGCTGTCAGCCCTCCTGACCCGGCCCTGCTCTGTCCCTGCAGATGGAGAGGCACAGCCCGGCCCCGTCCCCAAGTCCCTGCAGAAGCAGAGGCGGGTGCTGGAGCGCCTGGTCAGCAGCGAGTGTGAGTAGTGGGCCTGGGCCCCCGGAAGTGCCTGTCCAGGGCAGGTGTGGAGGGGCCAGCCTGGCCCTGGGTGCCTCCCCAGGACGGAGACCGCGTGTGCACTGACCACCCTCCCCGCTCGCCCTCTGTTCCCAGGGGGCTTCCTGGTGGGAGCCGCTTGTGGGCATCAGCCCACTGGGCGAATTTTGGTCTCGGGAGCCCAGACTAGGCCGCACCAGGCTTTGTTCCCGTTCCAGCAACTTCCCAGTGCAAGGAAGGTCCAGCAGGCCCCAGGGAGGTGTGCCTGGGCAGCAGGGGACAGGCCTGGGCAGCAGGGGGCAGGCCTGGGCAGCAGGGGACAGGCCTGGGCAGCAGGGGGCAGGCCTGGGCAGCAGG